TCTCCCTATTTATTTCAGAATCCCCTTCCCCACCCCTATTTCTGAAGAAGGGTCTAGGCCCGAAACATCAGCCTTCCTGCTCCTCTGATGCTGCTTGGCCTGCTGTGTTCATCCAGCTTCTACATCTTGTTATCTCAGATTCTCCAGCATCTGCAGTTCCTACTATCTCTGTATTAGGTGTCCTTTGTTTGCAGATGTCATTATTTCCAAAATAGTCAATCGTATGTATAGTAAAGCAGATGGCGAAATATTCTGGGACAGGCTGCATGTCATGCTGTGTTCCTTTTTTCTGTCTCATTGCGGATATTCAGGAGCAGTATCAGCATGAAGTAATTTCAGTTTATTTTATGTTTATTATGTTTCCCAGTTCCCTGTTATTCAAGGGTATTCCTTCTTCATCAAGAAAGAGAGGTGACCTCGTTCTTCCATTTGCTATGTTGGCAATCTGAATAGGGCAAGGTGGTAACTCAAGGTCAAAATATCACCAATCCCAAGTTGTGTGACAGTGGAATGGGATTAATTTAGATCTGTCCCTTTGTGTGCAGTAACTGCTGATGTTTGAAGGCCTGGAGAAGCAGCTCATGATTCCCAGAAAGTCCCATGGAATAAGGCATCAACTCTAGGTGATATTTAGAAGTTCTCTGGAAGTTTGAATACTGACTGAGTCAGGGAATTTCTACAATTTTTAAATTTTCCTTTTAAAGATTGTAAGAAATATGAGCTGGAATAGGCCATTTGTCCCCTCAAACCTGCTGTATCATTCAGTAGGATCAAGGCTGATCTGATTGTGGCCTTTACCCGACTTACATGCCTGTTCCCCCAGAACCCTGAGCGTCCTTGTCAATCAAAAATCTGTCTAAATCAGCCTTGATATGTTCAGTAAACCAGCTACCACTAGGGTCTGAGCAAAATAGATTTCTCCTTATCTCTGTTTTAAATCAGTGATCTCTTATTTTTAAACTAGTTCTAGGCTCCCCCACAATGGGAAACACATTTTCAGCATCTACCCTGTCAATTTTTTTATAATTCATTAAGAGCCCCTCTCATTTTTCTAAGCTTCAACGAGTGTAGGTAAAGCTGTTCAACATTTCCTCAGAAGACAATCCCTTCATTCTATGAATCAGTCAAGTAAACCCTTTTTAAGTGCTTCCAAAGAATCAGCACTCTAAGATCTTTACTAGAGAGACCAAAGGTCCCCTGTAGTTGATCATTTCTGGCAATGGTTTTGCACCCAAATGTTTTAAGAGGGGTTTTCAAGAACGAGGAAGCCACCTGAGAGTGGGCAAAAAACAAAAGCAAGGGTCGGGCAAAGAAATAAAGAATATTCTGCCTCTCTCTAGCACCACTAAGTTCCCCTACCCCCTCCCTGAGCCCCCAGCTCCCATCGCTTTCAACCTTCATTCTTTTAAGGCTTTATCATCTGGTTTCCCCAGACTTCCTTACTGACCATCCATAGCATAGGAGAAATTCCCATATCTTATGATAGAGCCTTGGAAGTATTCAGTCCTAGAGGTCAAATTGGTTCTCTGCTGCTGTGCACACTGGACACGCTCACAAAAGCAGTTTCTTTACCTGTTGTAATGAGCATTTATTGTGTCCAATATTTTAAGTTATAGAAAAACTCTGTGCATTGAAGGCTATCCATAGGCTATGGTTTTGGCCTTCCTGTTATATTGTACTGTAACTTTATTTGCTTATGAGTGTGTTACAGTGTAAGCTGTTTAGGTCTGCCAGGAAATGTCCATTTTTTGCAGATATCCCTTGGTGTGCCAATTTATACAGGTTTCAGCTTATGTTACAAAACCAGCTCCTATTTATCTTGAATCAGAGATAGTAGGAACTGCAGATGCTGGAGAATCCGAGACAACAAGGTGCAGGGCTGGATGAACACAGCAGGCCAAGCAGCATCATAGGAGCAGAAAGGCTGACGTTTCGGGCCTAGACCCTTCGGCTCCATCCCCGCCTCTTCGACCTGTTTGTTTCCTCTCCACCTATCCTCTCCTCTATCCATCTTCTATCCGCCTCCCACTCTCTCCCTATTTATTTCAGAACCCCCTTCCCCTCCCCCTTTTCTGATGAAGGGTCTAGGCCCGAAACGTCAGCCTTTCTGCTCCTATGATGCTGCTTGGCCTGCTGTGTTCATCCAGCCCTGCACCTTGTTGTCTCCTATTTATCTTGATGAATGGACAGGGTTTTTTTTTAAGTCCGAACAATTATCAATGAATGAACACTAGAAGCAATCCTTCTCAAATGTCCAAATTTACAGAATTCATACAGACGAATAAGCAAATGAAACCTGAATACAAATGGGTCTGAGTTACAAAAACATCAGAAGTTAAGTTTGAAAGGTAACTAAATCACATGACTCTGGGGCTACAGGTTGGATACCCCTCCTACAAAACATGGAAATGCTGCATTGTCTTCCAGTTGAAAATCATCAAACATTAATTGTAGATGTATATTGGTAAGAAGTGTAGCGATATATTAATGTTTTCAGTAAAAACTGCTAAGAGAGCACTTTACTTTGGCTGATGAGTTTGCCTTGATTCTAATTTCCACGTCAAACAGGCCTGTCTTAGATTTTCTGATTGTCAGTCAGTTATTCAGCGTCAGGAGCAGGACTTCATGCGCTTAAAGCTGCAGCATGCCTTGGAAGTAAAGGTATGAATTTCTTAATTGTTATTACATAGTAATGTTGATGCTTTGTTATTTCATGGTTTCTTTTAAAATCTTAGTTTCAATCTGTGTGATTGGTGCTTGATATTTAGGCCTGGATAAACAGTTTTGGGTGCTTTTGCACCTGTCTTGATAACTGGAATATGTTGAGACTTAGACCCATATAAACTGGAAGGATTTGTTTTAATTCATAAGAAAGTATAGGTCTAAAGGCTGGATTCAGTTTGCAAAGCAATGATTCCACTGGTTCAATATTTTCGACTTATTGTTTACAACGAGTTAGAACTTAAATTTGAATGCCTTCCAGATTACCCTCCAGGAAGACCCTTAAAAAACTGTTTAGTTTTACATATTGGGCATTGACGTTTATTACAGTCTTTTTTTAATTCTTTCACGGGATGAGGGCGTTGCTGGTTGATCAGCATTTATTGCCCATCCCTAATTGCCCAGAGGGCAGTTAAGAGTCAACCACATTGCAGTGGGCCTGGAGTCACTTGTAGTCCAGACCAGATAAGGATCGCAGTTTCCTTTCCTAAAGGACATTAGTGAATCAGATGGGTTTTTCCGACAATTGACAATGGATTCATGGTCAACATTAGATTCTTAATTCCAGATATTTATTGAATTCAAATTCCACCAACTACCATGGTGAGATTTGAACCTGGATCCCCAGAACGTTATCTGGGTCTCTGGATTAACAGTCGAGCAATAATACCACTAGGCCGTTGCCGCCCCTAAATATTGCCTAATTATTTATCTTGATGAATGGACAGGGTTTTTTTTTAAGTCCTAACAATTGTCAATTGTCTAATTATTTAAAATCATTTCCATGTATTGTGTCTGTTTTAAGCCTGGGCAAAACCAGGCATACACGGTAGAATTTAATGGTCCCACTCCCCAGTTGACTACAGGCATAGGGTAGGGAGGGGTGAATGACACCTTTACAACCACCATGTCACCCCTGTCAATTAAGCCAAAGATAGAAAAGGTCATGGTTAGCTTTCCTCTTTCTAGGTCTGTTGAGGCCTTTAAGAGGCCAATTAAGAAACTCACCTTGCTGACACTGATGCAGGGGTTGTGTGTCTTGAACCAACCATCGTAGCCGAGAGTTAGGATGCAGGCCTTAGTCAGGCTGCATGTTCAATGGAGGGCCTTGCTGCCGGCCCAGGACACCCATGCAGGCTGGTTACCCCCTCCCCCTCCCCACAACTCACCACATCAACACTCCCCCTGCCTTATTGGAACCTGTTTGATTCTGTGTCTCATGGATGTAGCCTGACTCAGCTCATGAGGCACACTCTATATCAGCTTTAGTGGTAAAAGTAGTGGACAGGGGAAATTTGTTATTTCTATGGACTTCCAGAAGGCATTTAATAAAATCCTGTCCAAGAGACTGTTAGTTTTGAAGATGTTGGAATTGAAGGAGAATTATTCATCTGGTTTGGAAATTGGCTCTGTGAAAAGACACACAGAGTGAGGATAATGGACACTTAATCTAGTGGCCAGTGATGCCTACGGGGATCTGTGTTGGGGCCTCAGCTTTTCACAGTATTTATTAACAACTTGGGTAACAGGATGGCTAACTACTTGCCTAAGTTTGCTAATGAGACAATGTTGGCAGTATTGTAAGCACTTTAGCTGGAAGCATATAATTACAAAGAGATATTGATTGATAAAGATGACACTAAGATGAGTGGTAGAGCAAAGTGTGCAGAAGACACTGAAAGTCTACAGAGGAATATAGATAGTCTAAGTGAGTGGGCAAAGGTCTGGCAGATGGAGTACAATGTTGATAAGTGTGAGGTCATCCATTTTGGTAGGAATAACAGCAAAATGGACTATGTTTTAAATGGTAAAAAATTGCAGCATGCTGCTGTGCAGAGGGACTTGGGTGTCCTACTGCATGAATCGCTAAAAGTAGGATTGCACGTGCAGCAGGTAATTAAAAAGGCAAATGGAATTTTGTCTGACATTGCTAGAGGTATGGAGTTTAAAAACAGGGAGGCTATGCTGCAGCTGTATAGGGTCCTGGTGAGGCCACACCTGGAGTACTGTGTGCAGTTTTGGTCTCCTTATTTGAGAAGGAATATACTAGCACTGGAGGGGGTGCAGAGGAGATTCACTCGGTTGATTCCAGAATTGAGAGAGTTGGATTATGAGGGGAGACTGAGCAGGCTGGGATTATACTCATTGGAATTCAGAAGAATGAGGGGAGATTTTATAGAAACATAAGATTATGAAGGGAATAGATAGGGTGGAGGCAGGGAGGTTGTTTCCACTAGCAGGTGAAACTAGGACTAGGGAGCGTTGCCTCAAAATAAAGGGAAGCAGATGTAGGTCTGAGGTCAGGAGGAACTTCTTCACCCAAAGGGTTGTGAATCTGTGGAATTCCCTGCCCAGTGAAGCGGTTGAAGCTACCTCACTGAATGTGTTTAAGGCAACGCTAGATAAATTTTTGAACAGTAAAGGAATTAAGGGTTATGGTGTGTGGGCAGGTAAGTGGAGCTGAGTCTCAAAAAGATCAGCCATGATCTTATTGAATGGCGGGACAGGCTTGAGGGGTCGGATGGCCTACTCTTGCTCCTAGTTCTTATGTTCTTATGTAAAGTGAATGGGCAAAACTGTGACAAATGGATTTCAATGTGGACAAATGTGAGTTCACCCATTTTGGATCAAAATCAAGTACTTTCTAAAGGGTAAAAAGTTCAAAACCGGAAATACTTTATACCAAATATACTTTATGGTTGAGATTCATGGATCATGAAAATATGAACAGCGACAGAAAATAATAAAAAAAACAGTCATGCTTCAGTTATATGCAGCCCTGAAGATCACAGAGTACGAAGAGTTATTCTGCTACTGCATCTTGGGGGGAAAATGTTGGTCTTGGAGGAAATACAGGACAGGCTTACTAGACTAATAATTAAATTCCAAGGCTTAAGCTAGGAAGAGAGAAAAAAACTAGGTTTGTGTTCCCTGGAATCTGGAAGGTGAAGTGGTGATTTGTTAGAAGTTTTCAGGATATTATGAAAACATGAGAAAAATACTTCCACTGTTTGAGGTGTCTAGAACTGAGGCAGAGCCAAAAAATTATAGCCAGACCTTCCAAGGAGTTGCAAGAGTGCTGAAGTTTGGAAAGCTTTTCTGCAAAGAGCAGTTGATGCTGGATCAATAGTTAAGTTTCAAATGAGGTTGACCTTTTTTTAAAAAATGAAAGAATTGCAGATGCTGGAAATCAGAAACAAAAACAGAAATTGCTGGAAAAGCTTAGCAGGTCTGACAGCATCTGAGGAGGGAAATCAGAGTTAAAGTTTCGGGTCCAATGACCCTTCCTCAGAACTGATGGTAGCTAGCAAAATGTCAGTTTATATGCAGAAGATAGGGTGGGAGGAGGGGGCAAGGAGTAAACAATCTGTGGAGGTAGAGCCCAAAGACAAGGAAGAACAGTTGGACAGAGAAAGGGGTGGATAACTGTCAGCCTAGGAGAATGAATAGCTGCCAATGGGGACTGTTAGTGGCAAACAATGGGTTGTGTGTAATAGCAGACCATGTGATAACAAGGCTGGTGTGTGAAGGGTTGGGGTAAGGACATGAGAGAACGTGCCTCCAGCCCTAAAACTGTTGAACTTGACAAGCAGAAAATGAGGTGCTGGCAAGATGAATACAGAACTGGCTTAGTCATAGGAGACAGAGGGGAGCAGTGAAAGGACGTTTTTTGGAATGGAGGGCTGTGACCAGTGGTATTCCACAGGGATTAGTGCTAAGACCTCTGCTGTTCATGATCTTCATAAATGATTTGGAGGAAAACTTAGCTGGTCTAATTAGTAAGTTTGCGGATGATACAAAGATTGGTGGAGCTGTGGATAGTGAAGAGGATTGTCAGGATACAGATCAGTTGAAGGCATGGGCAGAAAAATGGCAGATGGAGTTTAATCCAGACAAATGTGAAGTGATGCATTTTGGAATGTCAAGCACAAGTGTAAATTATACAGTGCATGGCAGAACCCTTTGGAGTATTGATATGCAGAGAGATCTGGGTGTGCAGGTCCACAGATCGCTGAAGGTGGCAGCGTAAGTAGAAAAGGTAGTAACAAAGCACCTGCCCGCACACCATAACCCTTAATTCCTTCACTGTTCAAAAATTTACATTGAGTATAAGGATATTACAAGTTATGCTGCAGCTTTATAGAACTTTAGTTAGGTCGCACTTGGAATATTGAGTACAGTTCTGGTCACCACACTACTAGAAGGATGTGGATGTTCTGGAGAGTGCACAGAAAAAGTTTACCAGGATGTTGCCTGGTATGGGGGATTTTAGCTGTGAAGAAAGGTTGGATAAACTGTGTTTGTCTTCACTGGAATGCAGGAGGTTGAGTGGTGACCTAATAGAGGTTTATAAGATTATGAATGGCATGGATAGAGTGGAAAGTATAAGGCTTTTTCCCAGGTTGGAGGGGTCAATTACTTGGGGACACGGGTTCAAGGTGCAAGAGAAGAAGTTTGAAAGAGACGTGCGAGTCCAGTTTTTCATACAAAAGGTGGTGAGTGCCTGGAACGCATTGCCAGAGGAGGTGGTGGAAGCAGACACGATAGCAGCATTCAAGAAACACCTGGATGAATATATGAATAGGAAGGGAATAGAGGGATACGGATCCTGTAAGTGAAGACAGTTTTTGAATGGAAGGGCAAAATGTGGCGGCACAGGTTTGCAGGACCAAAAGGCCAGTTCCTGTGCTGAGGCTTTGTGCATATTTGTTGGTAAAGTATTATTTTTCTCTAAGATGATGAGTATCTTTTTTTTTAAAGCTACAGCAGTGTGACATCACTTGATATTTTTTGTTAGCCAGAGAGATTAAAGGACACGGCGCAATGGCACGTACATTGAGTTAGGTTACACATTAATGGCAGAAAAGGCCAGAGCGGTTAAATGGCCCATTACTGTTCCTGTGCAAAGGAAATTGGCTGGGGAGAACTGAAACACCTAC